GCTGAGTTTCAGATTGTTTTGGGTGTGTCACAAAATACTGATTTCTTAACAACCATTAAAAATGTAGTAAGAACCACTCTTAGCTCACAGGCTGGACAAAAACAGGCCGCAGGTCCCAGTGGCCGCCCTTGCTCTAAGGCGCCCAATCCCGTGCTCAGATGTAGGAAGGGTGGTGATGGCGAGTTCTGTACACTGTCCTTTACGTGCCGTGAGGACACTCCTGGAGACCTGCCGGCAAGGCGGGAAACAAAAGCGCGGTTTCCAGGAAGCCCAGGAGCCACCCGGGTGCACGCGCCGCGTGTGAGCCGGCTCTTCTCCCTGCCGGCCCCTCTCACGCTGCTGACCGCGCTGCCCCTTCCCGCCTCCCCTCCTCGCACTTATCCATCCCTTCCATTCTAGTTCACCGGGACCTGAGAACCTCGGTTTTGTCCCTCCACACGAGTCGCCTGCCAGTGTGACACACACATCTTGCTTGACTTCACTCAGAAATTCTGAGCACACAAATTGGAGCCCCTGTCCCTGGACAAGAAGCTCCCACCAGGTGGCAGATGATGCGTTAACTGCCCTTCTTCGAGGACAGTCAGTTCTTCCTCAGCCAGGAACGTTCAACTCTGAACCGTTTCCGTGTTCCTGCTTCGTTGTATGTGGCCATAAGGATAATGGGAGGCATTTCTGCAACACGCCATCTCAACAGCAGCTACCCGCTCACGGAAAATTCCAGGGAGAGGCCATCGCTCACCACATCACGGCCGACCCCCCCCCCCCCGAACTCGTTCTGAGAGCCGTGGCGGAACCGTACTCCCCAGGGTCTGAGGACCCAGCTCCAACTTCCGAGGTTTCTTGGAGCAACTTGGCTTCAGCCGCCACCGTCCGGTGGCCCCATGCCTCCCTCTGCGTGAGAGCCAGCCTTCAGTTCCGACACCTCGCTCGCAGGCGACAGCGCTGACAGCACGGGGCGAACAGTCCTCCTTATCCGTGGTGCCTTCTGCGGCCGCTCCTGTCCCCTGCGGAGGCCCCTCTGCTTTACCCGCCAGCAGGCGCCCAGACGCGAGCCCCGTCCTCATATGACGACTTCCCAGTTTCTTCCACTTCGACGGCAGCCCACCACTGCGTTCAGGACACGGCCCTTCCTGCCACCAGGCATAGCGAGCACATGAGTTCAAACAGCTGCTCCTCCGCACAAGGACCCTGCCAGCCAAGCCGGGTAGGGCTGTGACGTCAGTGTCCTTTCCACAGGGCAGACTGAGGTCACAAACACAGGATCGTGCGGACGGCCCTAATCATCAGCCATGGCAACCGAAGCAAATCCTTTAGCAGTAATGGAGTAATGTGCTCATACATCTTTATGAAGACACTTTGGGATGAAAAAATGTTTTTACAGTTACGTAGCTTTCTTGATACATTTTTTATTTTTTCTGATAATGCTGAATTGTGTTTTTAAGCTATTAAAGGAACCACGCTGATCAGATGGCCTCTCTCAAATCAAAAGGGTGGTCTTGCCAGGGAGTGTATGTCAATCTCTCCAATGGCAGAGGGTGATGGGATGCTCCAGGAAATACGGTGACAATCGCCATGAAACTGTTACATAACAGGCTGTGTAGCTCAGTGGATTGAACATGGGCCTGCGAACCAGAGTATTGTGGTTCGATTCCCAGTCAGGGCACATGCCTGGGTTGCTGGCCAGTTCCCAGTGGGGGACACATGAGAGGCAGCCATGCATTGATGTTTCTCTTCCTATCTCCTTCCCTTCCCCTCTAAAGATAAATAAAATCTTAAAAAAAAAAAAAAAAAAGAAGCAAGCAGGCTATACCCTCGGAGACAGACGATCAAGCCCCTCAAATAACCCTCAACAAAAGGCGCTGCCTCACACAGGCTCTGAATGAATTAATTGAAAAGGCAGCAACAAGGTCCCGCAGGTATGCTTGGGACCTCCTGGTCTCCAAAGACTCTCAAAGTGGCTGCCGTCCCCCGCGAGTTACCATTTATGGGCATTACCAAAGAAGGAACTGAAATAATCAGTACGAATGAAGATGGCGCCGAGCTACTCCACTGTACGACCCTTGTCTCTAAAAGGAAGAAATGCAGATGGCTTAAGCCACTAAAAGGGAGATCCTGGAGACAGGGAGGAAGACCAGGGCAGTGTAAATGGAGGGTGCAGCCCTGGAGGGTGCAGAGCAACTGTGCATCTTTGCAGCTGCAGCTTCCGCCCTCTGCTGGCTCAGTGTGGATGGCCCTGGAGGCGCCAGGACCCCTTTCCAGCGGGAAATACGTAGGAAATTACTCCCACACAGCAAAGGCAGAAATCAGAGCCAATTAAACTAAAGACGTGGGGTCTTCCGACCCTGAGCTGTGGCCCTCACGGCAAACCTCCCACTTCACAAAGGGGAAACTGAGTGCAGGAGCCTGGGGCGTGACCGACGGCGGGGCCCGAACCCCAACCCAGGGCCCATGACTCTGAGCCGGAAGCCTCCCTCACTGCCTCCGGCACAAGCGTGCACCTGCGCGTGCCCTACACTCGTCCCTTCTGGGTCCCACAGCGCCATCCGAAGCTGATCTCACACGAGCCAAGACTTACAGGTGGCTGGCCACGCCGACCCAGCACTGGGCCTCGGCCACAGGAGAAGGCTGACAGCGTTGTCAGAGGGCAGTCTGAAAATCCCAGCTGAGAGACCTACTCAGACCCAGCCGCCCCGGCCACGACACTGCCTGGCCAGGCTGAGCACTGCCCGTGCGGTGTTGAAGGAGGCACCGAAACAGATGCGAGCCCCGCCCGACTCTAGTGCCACTGTGCATTTATCAGGCAGGCTTGCCTTTCTCTAATAATTTAGTACCCACTTCCTATCTTTCTCGACCACTCAACAACCTGTATGGTAGTTAGGACCTTATACCCTCGTTTTATAAATGAGAAACTGCACGTTCGTCAAGCGGTCTGGTTTGTGCCTGTGCCAAAGCCAGACTTTCTGACCTACGATTTCCGCCACCTGACCTTTCTGCCTGTTCCTGGCATACACATCCTCCTAGAAACCCCTGCCAACGACCTCCTGTTGATGAAAATGGACAGAAATATCCACCCCGGTTTCACACGGCAGTATCACAGATGGTATCTCATCGGCCGATCCCCCAGGAACTGCGATCCTTTCTGGGGGCCTGGGGGACAGGCCAGTGCTGAGCCTGAGGGTCACCACAAGGGTCCTGCTCCCCGTGACCTTCTTAGAAGAGATCACCCTTTTCCTCTTAGGATAAGAACATTCTCAATCTTTCTGCTCATCCTGAAAAGCAAAATACTCAGAAATGGAATGAAAGGTCCGGTTCAAAGCCTCTCCTCAAAATGCCGCAGAACCAGCACCTGGGGACCACTCGGGATTTCTGGCTATAGAGCATCTTACTTATGTGGAAGGACAAAGTACTGGGATTCCACCCCGTCTCGCGAGCCTGTGTGGCACGGTCCCAGCTGTGCGGCCCCACTGCACAAAATGCGGCCCAGAGACGCACTTCCATGGAGCCCTGATGAGCGATCACGGCGCACACCCAGACGGCCGCTTCTGCCACCGTCTCGGGGCTACTGTGATGCCTTCTTCCCTTCACTGCTCCCGATGCAGCAACACTCCAGCCAGAACGGCAAAGGCACCGAAGCCATAGCCTGCTCCGGCCAGGCTCACGCTCGCCTCCTCCACCCTCACCTCCACCTGCCAGTGCTGACCTTTCAACCAGACCTGCCCCCGCACCAGCTGGGAAAGCCAAGGAGGGAGCCCTTGAGTTCAGGGCGCCTCAGAGATTTTCAGCGCTAAGTATCGCCTACACCCCAAGGTGGTTCAGCCAGTGGTTCACTTCTCTACCTCCATCTGACCAAAGACAACTGCGCACCGCTGAAGCCATCATCTGCTGAAGGGGAAGGTGGGTGGGGGAGGGGTGCTGGCTTGCACAAAGAAACTCTGAAATGTAAGATTCAAAAAGATGGGAGGTTTCTAAATATCCAGTCCTCTAAATGCTGTGAGGGGGTCCTCTACTTTCCTGAATGTACTTGATCAGAAGTTCATATCATCATGTTTTCCAGCTGTAAGGTAGCACCTGTTCTTTTCTTTAGAAGATTTTCAGATCCTGGCTGGTGTGGCTCAGAAGACCGAGTGCCAGCCTGTGAACTGGAAGGTTATAGGTCCGATTCCCGGTTAGGGCACATGCCTGGGGTTGCAGGCCAGGTCCCGAACTGAGGGCATGCTAGAGGCAACTGACCAGTGTTTCTCTCCCTTTCACCCTCCCTTCCCCAGTCTATGAAAATTTAAAAATGAAAATCTTTTAGAAGGTTTTCAGGCTGCCTACCAGGCCAGCCTGGCCACACCGACAGAGCCCAGCTGCTAGGTCCTCTGATTAAACACTGGGCCACATTCAATTAGGCAATTAGTACAACCGGCACCCCGGCCTGACCGACACAGTCTATCTGCCACAGGGCTGGGGCACGCACTCAGAACAATGTGCTTCCCCAACAAATTAAAACAAAACGATATCATCTGCAGGACTGGGAAGTAACTCCGAGACTCAGGAGCGTCACTGGTTACAGCTGTAAGCTCCACTGGGACTTGACTGAGTTAAGGGGTGTCCCCTCACCATTGCCGAAACAGCCTGGTGGCCAGTGTGTGTGGCTCCGCTGTCTTGGGATGTGGAGCCTGGGCCCCTGCTTAGTGTGGTCTGGAAATGTCCAAACCCTCTGCACTACCCAGCCCGTGCTGACTAGTGCAAGGAGTCCTGCTGCCTCACTGTGCGCTTGCGGGGGCTGTCCCTTCTCCACACGTCCTCTAACAGATCTCCACCTGGCAAGGCTCTGGACGGGATGGCCTGGGCAATATCTGAGGGCAAGCCTGCGTTGAGTCCCTTGGCTTCTGGGAAGACCACGGGATTGGTCCAGTTTGGCACGTAACCACTTTCTGACACCACCAGCACCTAGCGAGTCTGACTGGCCTTCCAGCACGACAGCCTGGTCGCGCTGGGGCAGGCCGGCGGCTCACCTTGGGATTGGTTCGCTGCTGCAGTCTCCTCTCTTCCCGCTCTCTCTGCAGCCGCTCAAACTCCTCTCTGATCTCGGCTGGAGTCCTCCTCCTTTCCACAACCTGGGGGCAGAACCGAGGGGAGAGCACAGTTAAGGACAGGAAGCGGGGAACGCACACCCGGAGCTGACGGCATTAACTGGGTGTGGGCAGGGTCCCAGGACTCGAGATGTGAAAACACTGGGGTGAGTTTTGCCCCAGACCCTGGCCAGGTGAGGTGAGGTTCACTGGAGCAGCCACTTCGCTCTGCGCCCCAGCTGTTCCCAAGGTCATGGTCTCGACAGCCTTAAGTACAATTCCCTTCATTTTAGTAACTTGTCTCTGAGACTGCAAGAATCTTATCAAGAAAATATCACCTTAAGTCACACAGTTTAAATTTCCTAACAAGTTCCAGATAACAAGTGTTCAACATCAGCACAAAGGCAACGGGGCCACCGTGCCCCGGTGTGCTGGGCTGTCGCGGAGAGGCCTCTGAGCTTCTTAGACCAAGGAATCGTGCCTTCGGGTCTGGCTGCTCTTCAGTGATGGGACTGTTCCCGCTCTGATACGGTAAGAACCTCAGATGAGGACGCAGTTACACCCGAGTGTAAGCAGCACACGGCAGTGAGGCGCAGACTGTGGTAAGACGGGCACCCAGGGTGCACAAGGCACCACGTCTACGGGAGAACCAGGTGTCTCATCTTGGCCGTTCTTGGCTCACCAGGAAGACAATCTAGCTGAGATTTCCAAGGGACAGGGAAAGGCCACTGGGGACCTCAGGTGCCACATCCTCGGAAGAGGAAACTGGTCTGCGTGCTTTCTAAGGGCCCTGAGCCCTATAGCCCGTGCGACGCGCAGAGGGTGGGAGCAGAACACGGATCAAAGGCGCTGGAACGGGGTGGGGGTGGGGGGGGACCCAACAGCCTGTCCCTGCATCGGTGGGGAAATGCAGGTGCCTTGAGAGGCAGCTCAGAGAACAGCTACGAAGGTGGGTGATGCGAGAAAAAGCTGTCTTGGAAATCGCAAGTTCAAAAATTATTTAAAAAAATACATGCTTACAGCAAAAAAATCAGAACAGCACAGAAGGACACAAAGTAAAAACGGCTCCAGTGCCACCCTCTCTCTTGTCACAGGCCAACACTTAAGTTTTTATTTATCTTCCTAAAAATCGTGTAGGTGTATACACGAATATCCATATGTGTGTATATACGTTACATGTGTGTGTACATATATTTTAACAACAATGGAGTCACATTACAGGCTTTGTGCAACTGATTTTACTATTCACAACACAGAAAAATAAACCCAAAACTGGCCCAGCCAAGGCCATTTCCAAGAAACATGTGCACAGGAATCCCACCGAGACGGCGTCTTCTCCTCTAACGACCGGGATGAATTGCCCACTGATGAAAAGTGGGGGTGGTTCTTTCAGAGGCGGCTTTAAAACGAGAACACTGGTGTGGCTGCCCACGGACAAACGAACGGCCCCACTGCCGCGGCCCCTGCTCCGTGGCCCCGCAGAGCCACACGGCTTGCTGGGCTGCAAGGGCGCACCTGCCGCTCTGCTGGGGCTCACGGGCCGGAGGGCGCGCGCCCCAGCCCACGGCACTTTCGCTTCTGCGAGTTAGCCCCGCTTGTGCAAAAAGCGAGGTGCAGTTTGGCAAACTTTGCATTATCTTCTCAATCTGTCAGCCTTGCCCTTCATCAAAAGAAAAGAGAAATAAAAGTTTCATGGGAATGTAATAAACAATTCCATTTTACCTTGAAGATCAAGAAAGGCCAAGAAAAAAAGACTTAAAATCCCTCAGAACTTGTTCATGCCTCCTAACACCCGATCCGGCGGTGCCGTGACTGCAGAATCACAGTGCACCTGGGCCCATCGGCGGCGGCTCGGGACTCATTACTACGGGTCGAGGGGGTCTGCACCGGAAGCACTTCCCCAGGGGGCCGCTGTCTCCGGGGTTCCACCTGCACAGCAGGGGCCATCCCGAATAGGCTAAGCAGCAGGACCCTGGCGTTGAGGGTGAAAATTCAGACCAGTTTGATCAGCCAGGGACACAGACTCCATGAGTATGCTCCATACTGATAAAAAACAAACAGATTTGTGAGATCCAGGAATTAAAAGACTGTAAAAGCATCAGGCCTCAGAGGGCAGAGCAGAGCGAGATCTGTTTGCAGGAACTCTAGCTGCCTGACCTTGACCAACTGAAGAATAGCTGCAAATTACTCTTGCCACACTGTGATAAGCTAAAGAGGAGAATGTTGTAAAGCTGTTATTTCATTTCTAGCTCGGCGACTTGCCTCTTTTTTCACCCAGAGCCTTCTGACAGAGCACAGGAGGAGGCCATGCCAGTGGTGAGTCGTCTGTGTTCCATCTCGGTCGCCCTCAGATGTCAGCACCGAGGAACACGGCATCCTACACTGAGCCACACACGCTCCGTGTCTTCCATCAGCGGCGTGTCAAATGCTGCCCGCAGACCTACACACCCGTGCTGCTTGCCCTGCCTAAGCTCCAGCTATCCCCGTGCTGGCCGGAAGACGGACCGACCTTGTGGAAGAGCAGGACGGTTTCTGGAAGGGAGGAGGCCTGCGGGAGGGAGGTGGGAGCCGGGCCAGCCCCGCCACCTTCGGACCCTGCGGTGGATGAGGGGCACTTCACGGCAAAGGCCGAGGGGTCGTCTGTTCTCGCCAGGCAACCTCTCTATACATTCACACAATTATTTAGAGCTCAGAACGGCTGCGAGAGCACAGAAAGCTCACCTGTGCCCTTCTCGTTGTCATCTCATAAAACCACGGACGAGCTCTCAGACCCGCAAAACCACCAGCAGGCTCATGACCACGAACTAGACCCCGGCTTTCTGGATTTCACTAGTTTCCCACTGACTTTCCTTTGAAGTTCCAGAATCCCATCTAGGATCCAGGCTGCGTTCGGTCGTCATGTCTCTGCAGCCTCCTCTAATCCACGAGGGTCTCTGTTCTCATGACCTTGAGCACGTGAGCAGGCCGCCTTCCTTAGACTCTATAAGACCAATGTCCGAGTCACAGGAAAATTAAACACGGGTACAGGGCCGCACACGACACCCGTGGGGGAGGCGGGCCAGGGCCGCTCCTCCAGCTGCAGCCCTGCATCCGAGCACGCTACGAAAGTCACGGGCTTCCACGCCCCCTGCCAGCCAGGGGAGTCTGCCCGGTCGGGGCGTGCTCGGCTCAAAGCTGGGTTCCTGCTGCTCTGCAGAAGGGACCGTATCATTTTCAACGTGGGTATCTGCACAGACACCGTGAACCAACTTCCAGCACGAGCATGGCTCGTTTTACAAGCTGGGAAACGGCTGCCTCTCATTCCTTTGGAATCCTGCCAGAAAATGACAGTCTCTTGAAGGTTAAAAAAAAAAGAAGAAAAGGCTGAAAACGGGGCCAACACTTCCCGGTCTAACGAAGCGCCACTTTATCTGCAGTGTCCACCGACAGGAAGAGGTGAGCCAGTGCCGGCCTGGTGGGGAGGCTGCAAGCATGGTGCCCTGGCACGCCCAATGCTAGGCGTTTGCAGGGCCGCCCACCCTTCACGGACCACCGGGGAGCTCAGGCAAACAGACTGCGCTAAACGGGGTGGGAGCTCCGATGAGGAGGAGAGGCTGCCCTTGAAGGGACGAGGAGGGTGCCGGCTCCAGAGACCACACCTGAGCCCGGTGAGGCTCGGCCCCGGCAGTGCCCACACCAGGCCCCACCTCCCTGCTGCCTGTCAGCCCCGAGGCCCGAGGCCTCTCTGTGTGACACCTGGGGGAGTGTCCTCACAGCCTTCCTGGGAGGTGTTTTTACCTGCAGTGAAGGCCTGGCTTCCTTGCCCAAAAAAAAAAAAAAAAAAAAAGCCAGTTTGGCTCCAAGAGAACTTGATTTCCTTGTAGCTGTTTGCCTTGAAGGCAGAAGAAGCTCATCCAGTCCCCACCTGTGACTGCCACCCCGCTGTGAACAGAGACTCAGTGCACATGACAGGATTTTATTCCTTTTGGGTGAAGACGCTAAGCTGTCAGACTCACCACTGAGCCATGATGCACCCAGGTGACGCGAAGCACCGCTGCTCCCATCGAGCCCAACGCCACGGACCAAGTGCCCGCTGGGCCGGGCAGGACGTGTGGGCGAGTGCAGGGCCAGACGTGGGGGGGGGGGGTGCAGGTGGGGGACAGGACCTGGGACCAGCTGGGCAGTAGGGACAGGCAGAGTCGCTGTGGACCCAGCCCACTGCTGTCTCACAGGGGAATTCAGACAGAGTCACCACGTCCTGTGATTTAAAAATTTTTTTATTTATTTACTTTTAGAGAGAGGTTAAGGGAGGGAGAAAGAGGGGGAGAAACATCAGTGTGTGGTGGCCTCTCGTGCGCCCCTCACTGGGGACCTGGCCTGCAACCCAGGCACGTGCCCTGACTGGGAATCGAACTGGCGACCATCTAGTCTGCAGGCCGGCACTCGACCCACTGAGCCACACCAGCCAGGGCAGATTTTCTGACTTTTAAAGAGGAGTCGGAAGACTGGATTTTTAGGTAAAACCTAGCAAGTTTTAAATATTAGCAAATGCAATTCATCAAAGCGGGCAACCAAAACACGGCCATGGCTCAAATGTGGCCCACGAGCCGCCAACGCTGAGCAGCAGTGGGAAGAGGGCTAGGCCCTGCCCTGCTCGTCTTCTCATCTGACGACTTCGTGCTAGAATCACGGACAGGCTGGAGGTGAAACACCAAAAGAACTTCAGGGGGCATCTTACACGGTGATGAAAAAGTAGCTCAACGACAGTCAACAGTTGCCCCAAATTTCTTAGGCACCCGGACCAATTCCTTTAACGAAATTAAGTAACAGCACCTGTGTGTTACAGCAACTTGGAGTGTCACAACTAACGCTCACCTCCGTTTTTCAGAGAATAACGCGGCTGCAAGGCCATCCATGGCGGAATACAAGGAAAGGAAGCTTCCGAACTCTCGGGATGGTGTGTGCAGCGCAGGGCTGCCCCGCATCCTGCACCATCTCCCCACGCCGCTCTGTTTTCCTTGACCTTGACAACGCTCCGATACCGGAGCAAGTTACAACCGGAAGGGCCGCCACACACAAGTGACTCCACTGGTCCCCAGCTTCCCTCAGCCTGCACTTCATTCACGAGCACAGCACTTTACCAACATCAACGCCTCTGGGACGCAGTTACATGGAGGGGGAAAGGCTCAGAGGCAGGGGGGGGCGGGAGACAGGACCGTACCCTTGCAGACCCCGCAGGCTCCCTTGGGTTAGAATTCCTGGAAAGCCTAGCCCCCCCGCCCCTTCCCTTCCCTTGGCAGGTTAGTAAGTGGAGAATGTGGACGAGCGGCTTGCCCGGGCCCAGAATACTCTTAAACCAAAATACGGGGGTGGGGGAGGTGCCACTGTGCTCACATACTCCCACAGATGCCATCGCAGGGTCGGGGCCTGGGGTGGCTGTTTGCCGGTGTTTAGTGACCTTCCTGGGACACCAGACACGTGCTCTCTCTTACCTCCCATCCTTCCATTTCCAGTCCTCTCTTTCCATAGATGTCATAGATGGCCCGGGTCTGCGGGTCGCTGAGCACTGCCAATGAGAACCAGACACGATGAGAGAGTACAAAACCCACCCTGCGGCCCCGACAGCGGTGCCCCCAGGCCGGCCACACAGCCCCCCACCCCCCAGAGAGACGCTCTTCGCTCCCTGCGCGTCCTTCCTCCTCACTGCCCTCAGGTCCGGGCTAGGACGCCTGTGAAGGCGGCCACAAGCGGGAAACGGCAGTTTCGAGTCTGAGCTGCTCTGAGCCAGGAGGTGCACCCTGGATCACCAAGGGACGGAAGTTTTTAAAAGAATTTAGCAGGTTTCTACCACAGTCTGTGGAGTACCCTGGCATGAAAGAGTTAATTCCGGTTCTAAAGGAGTGTAATGTAAAACTAGGGGCAAGTTTCTAGAAAAATCGGATTCTTTGTTCTGTAGAGTCTCACTCCTGAGATGTCTGTTTTTCTTTTACGTCTCTCCTGTTTACTGGCCAATCATTTACAAAGACACAAAGACCTGTCACTCTGGCCATCACCTAAGAACATAAGAAACAGGTTTTTCAGCACGGCAAGAGGTATTCAAAGGAGGTCCAAACCAAAACCAACGCCAGTGAGGCTCAGGGTTACTAACTCCTCACCTGCTCTGTCAGTTCTGGCCTGAGACCTTTGAACCTTTGCTCACCTGACTCCCCAAGTATTTCTAGGTCTAATTAAAAAACGACGTAAACAAGCCCATCTAATGGGGAAGAAGCAATGCTGACCCCGTGGAAGGGGGAGGGGCGTGGCGCACGTCTGCAGTTGATCTCCGAGACCCGACAAGGGACCCGACAAGGAGGCGTCTTCAGCATGTGACCCCAGTCTCCCTCCAGGCCGGGCCTGGGCCCGGACTGCGGCACTTCCACCAGCCCCAGGGGCTTCCCTGCCAACTTTGCCCCAAGTCTCTGACAGCACACACTGGTGACACCGGTGATTCAGACAACAGGAAAACATGTGAAGGCGGCCATTGGGATGACTGCATCCAATAAAGGACCAGGCTGTGGTCAGCACCACCGCAGGAGTGGACTGAGCAGAGTTATGTTCGGTAAATGCACCATGCTGACTGCACGGATATATCATGGGCCAGAGCCTGGGTGTTGCTGGTCATTTAAATCTCACTTTTGGTAAAACTATATAGTGAAGTAGAACATATGTTTTATGTCGATGATAAGAAGTCTTTATTTTGAAAACACATTATCTAATTATAGATCTAATTAAGAAGCAGACCACCAAATGGCTCTGGAATAACTAACTTACTTTATTTCATATACATCCTAAGAGTGATTTACTATTTTAAATATTTGTTTCTTTAAAACTGTGGTGATATATACATAGAGAACCAAACCTTTTAATCATTTTAAGCGCATGGTTCTGTGACATTAACCATGTTGTGCAAACATCACCATTTCTACAACTTTTTCATCATCACAAACAGAAACTCTAACTATTAATGACTTTAATATGTTAAGAACAAATGTATCACAAAATAGTCTTTCTGAGCCCTGGCTGGCGTGGCTCAGTGGACTGAGCGCCGGCCTGTGAACAGAAAGGTTCCCGGTTTGATTCCCAGTCGGCACACACCTGGGTGACCGGCACGCGGGAGCCAACTGTTAGACGTTTGTCTCTCAACTGATTTTTCCCTCCTTCTGTTCCCCTCTCTCTAAAAATAGGTAAATAAAGTCTCAGTCTGAACAGAACAGTTTTGCAAAATACGTAAGTATAAAAACCTGAATTACTTGATTCTATTTCCTCTTAACCTGCTTAGCATCCTTTTCTTTCTTTTGTTAGAACCTTTCTTTAACTGAATACTACAGAGCCAATAAAATCCCTTTCCGACGAAAAAATGCTTCTGTCTGCTCGCAAAAAAACTGAACAAAGCAAGCTTGTCGGTAACGATCGGCCTTTTACTTCTAAGAGCTCCCTTTAGAAGGAACCAGCCGACGATTTAAAACTCGAGTACCCCCTGCAGTCCAGGCCCCCACTCTGTGACCTCACTTGAGCCCTCACTGTCTACTGACCAGACACATATTGATTTCCAAAGAAAATACTTCTCTTTCAAAGGACCCTGTCAGTAAAAAGGACTAAACTAACCGCCTCTTTTATATACCTCTAAGGACTCTCTTTTGCTATTCTCTACAAATCAAGTCTCTTAAAAATCGAATGCCTGCTACTGGGGCATTTCTACAAAGCCCAGGCCTCCAACTGACCTTCATAAGCCTGGTGAACAAGGTTAAACAGCCGCTCCGCTTGGGACTTGAGCTCGGGGTCTCTGTGCTTGTCAGGGTGGTACAGCATGCACAGCCTCCGGTACGAGGCTTTCAGCTCTTCCGAAGAGGCCTGCAGAGAGAGAAACCCATTAGAGAGCCATTGGCGCTCCTTAAACATCAATAATATCATCATCATCATCATCATCATCGTCGTCGTCATCTGCAGCCCTGAAACTGGTACCTGTGAGCCCTCTCCAACGTGCTTTCTCTCTCTGCACAGGACACAATGAAGTTGTGCTTTATTAGGCCAATAAGCCTTCTTTCCCACCGTTAATAAAGTGATCAGTTATGCGCATCAATGGCAGGCATGTTTCGTGGACACGGGCTGCTTTCAGAAGGAATGAAAGCTGTGTTTCTCTGCCCTGGCTCAGTGGGGTCTGGGCTGACACGGGAAAGCCCGTGGATGCCGCCTACTCCGGAACCTGAGCGATGTGCAGCCGGTCCTGCCACCGTGCTCTCCACAGGGAGTCTGTCTGCGAGGGAAAAACCACGCACCACCAGACAGAGACGCCACGCGTTCCACCAGCCTCCTGTCAAAGGAAACTCACTGAGCGCCATCTTTAAAAGTCAAAGACAAATCAATAAAACTGTAAGGCCAACACGCACGTCTAGCTCAGCCTCGAGCTCCACGGGGCATCACACGGAGCAGGTGAAAGGGCTTCACCGCCCTACAGGGAAAACAGCCCTGCCCCACCCCGCCTCCCTGCAGCCCTCCCGAGAAGTCAGTGTGAGGGTGAGGGGGAAGATGCCACACTAAGAGCCAGGGGACGACGAGGACAACGTTTCAACCACAGGGGAGGGAGGAGGAGAGTGACGACAGAAGTCCTCCTTCTACTCAGCCCGCCTCGTGGCCACTGAGGTGCTCTCGGAAAGACTCACTCGCAGGCCAGGCACACGGGCCCGTTCCTCTGGCTGGTCCCTGAGATCTGTTTTTAGGAAGATTGTGTCTGATTTTGTATCAGTCTCAGGAACCATTCTGGTCTATCAGGTGGTGCTGAATGACCAGCTCCATCCAGAGGATCTGGCATGTAGAAAACATTTTATTTGGCAAGGCAACCCCACCATTCTGACAACAGAAGCACATTTCTGGGTCACTGACAACAGGCCGCAGGGACCTGGAAAACCAGCCCCTGGGCGGACGGCCAGGGAGGAGGCCAGGGTGGGCGGTGCTCTGGGACTGCGTCCTCGGACACATGTCCACAAAAGGGCAGTCACAGGGACACAGGCAAGGGATCGAGGTTGTGAAGGAACACAGTAAATTATGTTTTTCTATAATTTCTACAATTTTTCAATAGCTTCTAATTCCAGGACTAATGAGTTTTTTCACCAGTGAAAAAAGGGCAAAATTGCCCTGGCTGGTGTGGCTCAGTGGATTGAGCACTAGCCTGTGAACCGAAGGGGCTGCTGGTTTGATTCCCAGTCAGGGCACATTCCTGGATTGTAGGCCAGGTCCCCAGTAGAGGGTGCTCGAGAGGCAACCACATACTGAAGTTTCTCTCCCTCTTTCTCCCTTCTCCTCTAAAAATAAATAAATAAAATCTTTAAAAAACGGTAAAACTTTTTACTTTCTAGTAAAATTTCTGGCATGTCACTGAAATATTTTATAATGGACTAACTTATTCAGACGTGAGGAAACCAGGCAGCCTGTGCAGGTTCCCCGGAGGTTTCCCACAAGGGCTTCTGAAGAACTCCAGGAGGAAGACAACGAATGGGAACGGAGAGACATGTCACAGTGTCACCGAGGAGCGGTGGCCTCTCAGAGCCTGTCTACCTTCACACGACTGTTACTCAGGAAAGAAACAGCTGGGCCTGCGCCACTCGGCTTGCCCTTTACACCAGACAGGAGGCCACTGCTGCTGGTTTAGACTTAGGCTCATCCGCACGTACCGGGTTTAGACCAGCAGCTCCTGAAGGTTCCTACGAGTTCTTCACTGGGAAAGGGTCAAGGCTCTTGGCTCGCATCGCCTGCCTCCGTGAGCGAGGTGGACGCCTGTCTGCTCAGGCTCTGACAGCACCCTCCCCTCCCTTGGGTGTGGCCGTCGGGAGTCACACTATGGACTAATCCCTAGCTGACTGCCTGCCTCCTTTGTCCCCATACGGTCAGGTCACCTGCGTGATTCGCTCTGTGTCTGGGGGTCGGGAATACAGACTTTGGAGTCGAGTGGCCTGTGGGTGGAGACCGGATTGGCCACTTCCAAGCCGTGCCAGTTAGGCAGCCAACCTTCCTGACCCTGGGCTCTCCTGTGGGCAAAGGGCCAGTGACAAATGCTGGGGGTGGTGCGAGGGCGTGGAGCGGGTGACCTCGAGGTGCTCTGTACAGCGCCCTGCGTTCAGCAGAAGCTCACGCTGCAGCCCTTTCAAACCTTCCCTCCGTCTTCTCCTTCACCCCGAGCGAGCAGAACCCCTCTTCCTGACGTCTGGGAGGAGTAAACGAGGGGTAAACGAGGAAGTGCACGAACAAGGGCTTCGCAGGGCCTTGCATGCAGTGGGGATTTTGCCACTTTGCTACCATTGTGCTCACATTCCAATTCTGACATCTCTCTGGCAGGACACACACCGAACCTGGAACCGTTTGGAGAAGGCACCTCCCTGGTGCAAGGGCAGCAGGAACACCCACCCACTCACATCACAGTCCCTGCTGGTGACAAGGCACTGAGCTGCCTCCTCGCGGCGCCTGCCCTGTTCTACGGGTGCATTCTCCGCTGGTGAAGACACGACTCCACAGAAGAGATGGGCCTCAGCACTCCCCCCTGCGGTTCCTTTCTCTTTTCCCTACCATAGTTTTCCCTGCCAACGCCAATTATACAATGCATTGTTTGCCCCCCTTCCCAATATACCAAACCCTGTTGTTTTAAACAAATAAAAAACCTGTTAACTAATGACAAAATAAAATGCACTCTCTCAAGGCAGGGTTAACTATGAGAAACATAATAGGGGCTTGCTCCTTCCTGAAGAACCATTACGAACTATTTTCTTTCTGAAAATGTTAATGGTTCCTTCCAGAACCTCATCTAGTGCAGAACCTCATATGGTTACAAGTGCAGGATTAGATGGATTTGATGCACCTGGGTTAGATGGTTACTTCCTGATTATTAAAAAATTAAACTAGATAAAGGGGAAGTAAGTGGTGATGGAAGGAGATGTGACTCAGGGTGGTGAACACACAATACAATATACAGATAATGTATTACAGAATTGTACACCTGAAACCCTGTATAATTTTATTAACCAATGTCACCCCAATAAATTCAATAGAATAAAAAAATAAAATTAAACTAGATGACGTGGAAGTAGAATATCCAGTCTGCAAGGCCTTCTTTAATCACAGTAATAAATGGCTTAATGTGCTATTAATTAAGTACTAGAGATGAGAAGTTTCATTTTTAATAAATATCACATTCAATAAAAGGTTAGACTGGGTCTTTCATCATTACTGAATGGCCAAGGTCACTGGCTCAGTATTTCCTAAGTGATAAACTCTATCATTATCATAAAAATACCTATTATCATTTCAAAATGTGCTATCATTAAAAATGATACCTGAAGTTACACACTTCTAAAATTCTATAATAAAATTAAGAGACGTATCATGATATAAGTATGAAGAGTTTCATCTCAATCCCCTGGTTATATTTTCAATAAAAAGTAAATATAAATTCAACCTATGCAGATCATAAATTCCTAATGAAAAGGTACTCGGTGAGCTGACTGTCGACCTTAGTGGTTAGTAGTCTGTTAAAATTGTTGGACTGTTTGCTATACCGTGTGAAAACAAAATTTCTGCAATAAGGCACACAAAAAATAAAAAGGCATACAGAATGGAAAGGAAAGTAGAATTGTATTTGCAGATGTCATCTATTTAGAAAATCATAAAGAATCGACAAAAAAGCTACTAAGTAATTTTAGCAAGGCAAACATCAACACAAAACCCAGAAATGTAGAAGGACAGTCCCGCCCGGAGTACCATCCACACGCTTGCACTACTCAGAGCTAAATTTAACGAGCACGCACAGAGCCTGCGCACTGCAAACCCCATGGCAGGCAGAAGTTCAACAGGACTGGGACGGATGGAGAGAGAAACCATCTTCATGCACCAGAAGGTTCAGTGTTTTTAAGATGTCAAAATCTCCCAAAGCGATGAATGGATTCGGTGCAGCCCAATCGGAAACCCAGCATCAACGACAGGAAAAGGAGGACAGAGCAGAGTTTGCATGTTACTCAAGTTAAGCTGGTATAAATAAACTCAAGCCAGAGTGTTATAACTTCAGGATGTAAATGCAACCACAAAGAAAATGGTTATAAAATGTACGTGAAAGGAAATGAGGAGGGATTAAAGCATTTCGCTAAGAGAAGTCAGGTGCACACAAAGAACAGGAACGAGGGAGAGGGACAAAGGGCTACAAAGCTCACTGAAGACAAATAGCAAAGTGGCAGAAATAAGACCATCTTATTAATTACTTTAGATGCTTTAAATTACTTTAAATGGATCAGGTTCTTCAATCAAAAGGCAGACCTGGCAGAACAGTTAAGAAAAAACAGACCAGCTATTTGCCGGCTACAGGGATCTGCTTTAGACCTGCAAACACAAACAGGCCAAAAGTGAAAGGATGAAAAAAGACACTGCCCGCACTGGTACCCGGAAACGAGCAGGGTGATGCTGCTATTGGACAACATAGACTTCACATCAAAAAGCGTAACTGGACACAAAGGGCATGATACAACACAGAAGGCTCAATACAGCAAGAAGATAGAACGTATCCAATGACAGAAGGATGCAAAAACTGACAGACTCGAGGGGCGGGATACGTAGCTGAGACTTCAGTGTCCCACTCTCGGTGATGGTGACAACAGCCAGACACTTGAGGCACACATCAACTGGATCTAACAGATATTATGTATGTAAAACACTCTACCCCACAAGAGAACACAGAGTCTTCTTAAGTGCACATGAACATTCTCTAGGAGAGGCCATATGCTAAGCCACAAATTAAGTCTCAACAGGTTTAAAATGCAGATATATGAGGCATTTTCTCTAAGTACAGCAGGATACAGTCAGAAACCAGAATGGAA